GACCCCACGTTCGTGGAATCCCCCCATATATATGCCAAAAGATAAAGATCCTTTGGACCCCTAAACCTTAAACCCGCCTTAAGGACCAGTACGATGTATGGGCATGATGAAGGGGATGCTGCGGACGCCATTGAAACTGTAGCTCAGAACACATCTTCAGAAGGATGTGGGGAATAGTTGGGGAACAACTTCTGGGAGTATTACTAGGATTTGGGGGATATCTTGAAATCATTTGAGTTTATCCTGGGATTCCCCCTTAGGGATTATCAAATTCCAAATTCTAAAGCCTAAGCCCATAGTGGGGACATCGGCAAGGCTGAGGGCCGTGAAGCTGAGAGCCATGCAGGATTCCATCATCATAGGATGAAAAATGCCGGGAAGAGTGGCCGTAGACCTGGGCTCAAGGCATAGGGTTCCGATATAGGGTTTAAGGATTCAGGGTTTATGGGTTTGGGGTCCAGGGTGTAGAGTTTCAAGTTTATGTTCAGAGCTTAGGATCGAGGGTGTAGGACGTCGAGTTTAGGCTGTAGGGCTTTGCCTTTTGATGGGCAATGGGCGTTCACCTTTGGTGCAGCCCTGCCATTTTGGGGATACCCAGTACCAAAGCCCCGCTTGTTAGAGAGAAGAATCCTGGCCAAACCTTTGAACAGCTATGACTACCACGATTGCTCTTTGTATTGCTTGTTTCCATCATTAATACTACTATGTGTCTTGGCTTACTTGAGTCATTCCCCCCCCCCAGAGCAACTGTCCGTAAAGGGGTCTTTATAGGAGCTAGCATGACTCCTACTACCCATGCAATTGTTACTACAAGGTGGAATGATCCCGGGAACAAAACTTCGAACAGCTTCAGAAATTTCAGGCTTAGGGTTGCGACCAAGAAGATGCTGATGACACTGCTGATCTAACTCAACGCTGCATGACCTTACTCATCTGGCAAAATTCCATAAATCTAGGGTACTGGTCTAGCTAGCCCAAGCGAAAAGCCTAACAACACTACTCAGATAAAACGCGCACCCCACAAATCCCAATCCAAAACACCTTACAAACCAGGCTGGTTCGTATCCGCAGCTCCCGCTCCCTGTTGCTCGTGTCTGAAGGTCCGGCATGCACCCTGTTCCGCAAGCGGATGGCCTTGACCTGATCCCAGGGTTCAGGGTTCCAGGTTCAGGCTTGTGCCTAAAGCAAAACTCAAGTGATTCCTTCTCTGGGACGGTTCTCACAAGAGAGGTATGTTCAAGGATCCTGAGGGTATAGCAGAAACAATATATTGATTCTGGGTGCCTCTAAGGGACCATTTTGAGAAACTCCCATTTCTGCGCCGATGATCACCATGTTGTATGTTGGGAGCTTGTCAGCATTGGGGTTTCTTTTGTGGGTACTTGGTGGAGTAGCGCCCGAGATTCAGGGCTCCAGAGAACACGATATGATGCAAGTCTCCATGACATTTTCCTTGCTATCTTGCAATGGGTTCCCCACTCTTCTCTTTTGTTAAGCCCCTAAACCCTGAGCCTCGTACCCCTAAAGCCTAAACCCTAAACCCTGAACCCTGAACCCTAAACTGCAGTATCCTGGCAGCATTCCACAGCAAGTGCGAGCCTGGTCGTTCAGATCTTCACAGCCCATCGCCTTCCGAGCGATACAAGAAAGCTTAGGGTTTCAGGGTTAGGGTCTTAGGTTTATTCAGTTTAGGGTTCAGGGCTTAAGGTTTAGGATCAAGGGTTTAAGGCTTGGGGTCTAGGTTTAGGGCTTCAGGATTGAGAGTTCAGGTTTTTGTGAACATGCTCTTCTCCACCGAGGCAAATTCTCGCAGAGAGCTTGCTGAGCCAACGGGTCCAGGGCTCTTTGGGGGCTGAGGGTTTAGGGTGTAGGGTTTAGGGTGCCGAGTGCAGCTGTTAGGATTACTGGGGAGCATGCCAGAATTCTAGGGGTCACCCTTATAGCGATTATAAAGATGCGAACCTCCCATGTGCCCTTAAAGTTTTGTGGCCGAGATTTTTGGACCGAAGAGGCGGCCATCCACTTGTTTGCTTTACCACGCGCCCAACCTTGAACGCTATACCTCAGATCCAAACCCCGACTGAACCCCACAAACACAATAGTCCTAAACCCTCCACCCACAACCCCCACTCCCCAAAACAGAGCCCGGGATGCGAAAAACACCCTTGGCCAGTCCTTTGCAGCACGCCCAAAAGATGCGAAAGGCAAGCCCCGCGACGGTAGGAAGTGACTGGGAAAATTGGTGGCAGCTGGGACTGGGATTGGCTTTCGGATGTCCTAAAACTGAGGGACAGGATTTAGGGCTCAACATTGCACAGAAACAGGGGGCTGTTCAGCTATGGCCTGTAAGTAAATGGCATTGCTACCCTGCATCATTTCAGGAGCTTATAGGAGGCCCGGACAAGGAATCTTGGAGGTGTATGTAGGCAATGTCCGTCGCTCATGCATAAATGTGCTTTTCCCACCTCGCTGCCCCTTCCCAGAACAAACCCTACAACCATTAGCAGTGCTCTCAATCCTCCATGCTGGCACTGCATCAGTATCCATATGCGGGCTTCCAACAGTTGGAGTATAGCAGTACAGCTTTTATGGGTCCATATTCGGGTGCCTACGTGTGGCATGTCCCATACTTGGGGGCTGCAGCTTTACGCTAAACCGAAAATGTTGATCGTCTACGCGAGCCGCACTACTTATCTGCAAGGAGTTCAGGGTCTGAAAGCTCTCTCTACATGATCTATTCTTATTATTCGTGGTCTAACCCATTGGGCACCCAATAATATTGACCTACACTCCTTTACTTCCTTGAAACCTCCCTCACTCCGATTGACCTATACCTATACTTTAGGAGGACCCCCCACCCTGTAATAGTGGTATAATAAGAATAGAAGAGGACCCTAATATTATCCCTATTATACCTTATAGTCACTATTACTGGGTGGGGGGTCCACCTAACATATAAACCCTAAACCCTAAATAGTAGCTTCCATTTTCTTTTCCATTATCCCTATATAACCCCTACATGACCTCTATGTAACCCCTACATAACCCTGTAGTCCCCATGCAAGCTGATGTCTGAGCAACAGGCGAGAAGGTGATCACTGTACCGTGGTAGGGGTGCCTGCAGTCTCAGTAAACGTTTCCCAGCATGTACATGGGGGGTCCCAAACATTAACATAGTATGTTAAGGTCTGTATTGAGCCCCAGATTAATTAATGAAACCCCGACACAAGGCTTCAATGACATGATTCCAATGGACGCGGGACTATCCATTGAACACAAAATGGCATACCCAAGTGTTTTTGAACTGCGCAGGCTTTGGTCAAAAAGCCGTCTACACCGGCAATCATACCCAAGTGTATTTTCCGAAACTTCTACATCTCCATGTTGCAACCCCAAGGATACCAATTATCATTCTGCCACGCCAGCTGAGAGTTTCTCAAAATTACCCGTGTGAGGAATCCTTACCAGCAACCCCCCTAACCCCTCCGCAATGCTCATCATCTCCCTCTTCTCTTCCTGAAGGGCCTCTGAAGTTGAGGAGGTCCCATGTCTGGATAAAGCAAGCTGCCCCCCCCAACAAAAATAAAAATAAACACTATAAACCCTATAAACCCTAAAAATCCTGAAGTCCCTATAAACCCCATAAACCCTATAAACCCTATAAACCCGAAATCCTAAACCCTGTAAACCCTAACCCATACTGGACCCCAAGGCTATCGCTGGAGATGCGCTTCATTGAGCTTCAGCATGTACTTCCACACCTCCGGTGGATACTAAAAATCCTGCATGACCCCAAGTGCCCTACACCTTGGGAATATTGGTACTATAGTATACTAAGGTCATGCAGGATTTTTAGTATCAACCGTCTCTCACACAAGCCGTCGCTTCGACTTCAACAAGGAAGCTACTGTGGGTGGTGGCAGCTGGTGATTGGGGTGCTAGCGTCAGCAGCAGGAATCAGAAATTGGAGCAGCATGGCAGTGTGAATATGCATCACCCTACCTCGAGGCCTCATAACAACAGAGATGCTGATCACAAGGATATGTACATCGAAATGGTGGCAGTCAGGACGACGACGAACAACGCAGTCATAATTACGGTAAGAAAGGTGATGAGGGAGCTCGAGCTCCATTTAAGGGGTAGTACATTTTGGAGGACTTGCAATAGGCCTGCTGTTTCACGAATACCCGCATAATAAAATCAGCTATCTTTATTAATTCAAAGCCTCCAGAGACCCAAACTCTCAAACCTCAAGACTGTGGTGCGTCCACTATGGGAGGCAGAAACATCAGAAAAGGGTTAGCCCAACGCTACTGGCTAGGGGCCGACCGGAAAAAGCCTCATGCCCTGTCTCGTTCGAGATGGGTGGGTTGGACATGACAGCTAGATCAAGAGGCGCCAGCGTCGGCACAACTGCACACGGCGAGCAAAAACGCAGGCCCCCCTGCCAAGAAGAGCCTTCACTCCGCCGTCACCAGGGGAACTTTGGTGAGGAGACGCCTACGGGTCAGCAAAAGGCTCTGCGCCGGAGCACCGACCGCGCCTTCTCCCGCTGCAGTGCGATTCCCAGCGCTTGGTACAGCCGGTCGCTCTCCACCGCCAGCGTCTCACCAGATCGTGCAGCCAGAGCCTGTGCCAGCATCTTCCATGCTTTGGTGGCCGCCGGGCCCCATCCGCCCGCACAAGCCTCAACCACCATAGGCACGAGTTGCATGCCGGCAGCATTGCAGGCCTGTTCCGTCTGTTGGTGGGTACGCTTCCGCACCTCGTAGTCAGTGGCAGCGCTCCCCCCTGAGGCCACAGTAGCTTCAGCACCTAAGCCCTAAATCATCCGGTCTGCTTAGGGAAGTTTTTCTGACTGCTTACGTTCAAGGTTTAGAGTTCAAGTTCAAAGGTGCAGGTTTCAGGGCTCAGGGGCGTGGATTCTAGGCTTCGCGCTTTAGGTTTGAAAACCCTCAAACCTAAACCATGGGGCTCAGGGTTCAGATAAAGCTTCCGGCCTGCGTGTCGGGGTCCAACGGCCAACGGCATTGGTGATCAAAATTTGCGTTGGGGTCCGGAAACGGATCCTGGCTTGGGCATGTGCTGAGCGCTTAGATGGGCTTGCTGTAGTTGCTATTCTGTGATGTATTAGCAGGCTTTACGAAAATGGCAGACAAATTTGCTGCCTGCTCATACTACCAGCTCCTTTCAAGTCAAGTTTATCCCAAGTATACAGCGTTGCCATGACCCAGCGTATCTTGCAAGGTACGGTAGGTTGCACCTTCTCGTCAAACTCCGCTGTGTACCAGGATAGCATGGGCACCACGAAGATATCCTTGCTTGATGCGCGTCAGCATTCTGGTGGTCTCGAGGTTACGAAGGGAAACCTCCCCCAGTGGTAGTCTTGGCACACACGAAAATCCGTTGCACGCAGAACATGCGGCAAGCTCACTGCTGAAGCATAATGCCAGGAGTCCTCACTGACAGCGGAAGGGAAGCAGTCGACACCTAACCTCAATCAACAAGGGCAATATGCCTGAAAGCCGAGCAGGCTGCCAACGGGTGCTTTCCCATTATCTCCTCTTGTCGCGAAGAGAGTAGACTAAGTTCCTTTAGACAACATAAGCCACTATAGTCCCTTCCGTCTTCGCGGAGCACGGCAAAAGCATGTGCTGGGTTGGTCACTCGTCGCAGGTTTCCATGATTCCCAGCAATTTTGCCAAGGAGTCCGGGTACTTCGCAGCCTCGCCAGGCGCACTGGGAATGGAGGAGTGGAACACATTAACAGTCCCTATATTATACCCTTATTAATGATCCCGTAGTTTCCCAAAATAAGGGGACCCCTAATATACCATAGTCCTTATTATGGGACCGCCAAATAAAGGTACCCCCAATTTTGGGAACCCCAATCCCTGTAGCGATCTCTACAATCCTTACAAGCCAACACAGGAGCAAAGCCGATTCCTGGCATTTTGTACTCCCGCTTGATCACCAGGAACTAGATTCATGTCGGGACTGCGAGACTCCTTCTGTTAATAGGTAAGAAGAATTTTACTCGGCTGCTGTTAAGGAACTTGAATTAAGTTACGATAAGAAGGAAATCCAATTATTTACAACATACCAATATCATGCTAAATTACATCAAGTTCCTCAACATCGACCCAGTTTAGTATAGAGGAGTGCAGAGCCAGCTCAATAACCAACGGGCCAAATCACCTCAGCATCCCACCTCTGTGGGGTTCAGCCAGAGCTCGTGGTTTCCCGGGACATAGAAGACGCGCCGGAACTTGGCCTCCAAATGCAGGCGTACGCACTGCGGCTTTTCTCCCTAGCTCAATTATGAATGGGAAAAAATGGAAGGGCCAGATCTACGGGATGACACAAAGACTTCGCTGGTGATGTATTCCCCATTCCCAAGTGAGCACCAGGAAGCTTCTTCTTTGTAGAAGCGGGCCTTGAGCGTTGTCAAGGCGCGCACGAGCGCGTTCCTCGCAACAGGTCTGGATTAGGTCCATGCTAGAGCACTTTGTTGGAACCGTGTCCTGGTGTCGCAGAGGTTTCCAGCGACAATCAGTACATCCTGCACAAAAAGGCAGACAGGAGCAAACTTCAATCACAGCAGCTAATCCTACAACTTTGCCCTATAGGCTCCAGCAGACGACCTGTCCTCTTGGAATTCGAAGTCATCAATTCGGTGTGCCCACTCCTGGTTACGGAAAGTCCAAGAAAGCCACAAAATAGCAAGTGAAGCGTTAGAGGGCCATCCTAATTGGCCAACACCCTAAATTGAAAAAAAACATGGACGGTAAATTGAGAACGAAATCAAAACTGGTTTGATACAAGGGCTTCTAGGGATTGAGTCCGGGATTAAGGATGTTGCTTCCCCCAACTTCCAAAACAAGGCTCCTATGACTATCAAATTGTTCTTTTAAAATCCTTCTTGTGGGGGTTGGGATTACCAAAAGCCTCTTCCCCGTAAGCCTCTGTATACACACAGCTTCTAGTTCATTATCCACTTAATTTTGCATTGATTCTTCCGGTTTGGGCGCTGGGGTTCTATACCAAAGTCCAATTTGTATACACCACTAAGCCAAAACAATCCTCACATAACCCCATTCATATATATATAGCGAGAGAGAGAGAGAGAGAGAGAGAGAGATTTTAAACCCTGTGCAATCCCCCTTTGGATTCAAAAGATCCCCTGAGTACAGTCGAAGTTGGCACTGCCATCCTCGTTGCACTTGTGGTCAAAGTGAACGTCAGAGATGGCATAGACCTGGTCACTTGCCGGATGTTAGTGGAATAATGGAGAATCAAATGGAGAAACAGATGTAAACTCACACGATGACTGCTGTCTAAAAGGATGCATATGGTTTAGGCATCGGCGGACTTGCTGGTTGCTACTGGGGAGTGAAGAGTAGACAGAAAATGGAAACTAGTACGAAACCGGGGACTATACTATACGGGCTACTGTAGGGATCCAGCCCTCCATTCCCCACTAACACTCAGTAAGGCTGCAAATTGACTAGCATGGGGTGTTCCCCAAAACACCATCCGGTAAGGACCCTCAGATATGTAGGGATTGCAAGGTGTTCTGGGGGTCTCTACAATAGCCCTATTGAAGCCCTCAGGCTCTGCCGCCTTCGTGGTGCCCTTTGGACGCCAAAGATCGACTCCGAACCGCTCACCTTGCTGGAATCAATATTTACATTTTCAGATTTAGGGTCTAGGTTAGATGGACCTCCACCCAGTCATAGTGACTGTAAGGGATAATACGGACTATTTTAGGGTCCTCTTATAATCCTATTTTACAAATACCACTATTACAAGGTGGGGGGTCCTCCTACGGTCTAGAGTTTAAGCTTCTCTGGCTTCAAGTTTATGTAAGTCTCGGTTGCTTCGGGCTTAAGCTCTAGGGCTTGGTCTCGGGAGTGAGCTAGGGGGCCAATGAGCACAGCTCGTACCTGTAGCATTTATTTGCAGGGTGGATGGGCGCTTTTGAATGGAAGGAGCATATTGCTTCAAAACAACGATTACTGCGGCTCCTGGGATGGGACAAACCTATACTAAGGTAATATTAGGGTAATATTGGGGTAATATTAGGATAATAGCGGGGTAATATTGGGGTTATGTTAGGGCTATATGGGTTATATGGGGATAATGGAAAAGAAAATGGAAACTACCATAATGTACATCCTGTCCCTAAGATAGATACCGACGCAGTGGGGGCACGGCTACTCATCCTGAACAACTGCATGCATCACTCTTTGCGAGTGTTAAAAAAGTGCCTACGTCGCCGCTGTCCATCGGCAGCCAGGAAGGTATCTTACAAAACACGGATGCCATCAGTTAAAATACATGTAGCAGACTCTAGGATATTACCTGGATACAGCTTGGGCTTTTGCCTACCTAAGGTCGGTAGGTCAGTGCCTCCGAACCCCCTAAAGTTTTATTCCTGGACGCTTCTGGGGATGTAAGGGCTTACATAACTGGAATGGGGCGTGCTTTAGCCATATAATGGTTCAGGGAATAATCCTGTTGAAAGCTGGGACCCAGAATCCGCCACAATAGTGGGATCCTCAAGCGCAAAAAGTGAAGAACGACAGTAGCAACCTCAAGTCACCGCAACAGAGGAGCTGCAGTAAAGCGCTAAAAAGAACAAGATCAGCAAGAAAAGTATGGGAGTTTCTCAAAACAGGGGTACCCCATGAGACCTTGACATTTTTGGCATAAAGGAACGTGTAACAGTTCCCCGGAAGATGATATAGCAGTTCTCCAATATGAAACTGAACACGAACGAAACCCAAGTCCCCGACGGAAACGCTGTCTGGCTGGGAGAGTTCGCCAGAGCGGCAGCATACTGATGCAAGCCTCTCAAGCTGTGATTGTAGCATCCTAAACCCTAAACGAGCGACACTCTGTCAGCCTGAGTACTAGCTCAACCCTGAACCCCTAAACCCCATAACCTGAAACCTCTAAACCCCTAAACTACCCCAAATCCTTGACCCTAAAACCTTGAAGTGGAAAGTGAGTCAATCCAAGCCTGCCGGCCCTTCAACGCAGCCATGTTGTTCGACTCCAACTTCAGGGCGTGGGCAAACTGCACGTAGGCCTGCTTAGCACTTTTGCAGGGGTTCATGTCGGAGTTTCTCCAAATAATCCCCTACATATTCCCTATATACTGCCTACATGATCCCTACATCATCTCTATATAACCCCTCATAATGATCCCCAGTATCCCCTGATAATTTTGCCGTTTCGGACCCCCAAAAAAAGGCTGATCCAGAAACGTCCTGTTTCCAAAATTGCTTTCTGTTGGTTTACGACACAAGCAGAAATTCGAGGCCCATTTTGCCATTTCGGGCCCCAGAAACCGCGCGTACTGGGGATTAGGGTTTAGGGTTTACCCTAAACCTACGAAAGATTAGGGTTTAGGGTTTACACTAAGCCTACAAAAGATTAGGGTTTAGGGTTTACCCAAAACCTACTGGGGGATTGAGGTTTAGGGTTTACCTTAAACCTACAGGGGATTAGGGTTAAAGGTATACCGAGACGCCTGCATGGTTTCTTACTGGGGGTGAGTAGGGAACAAGGGAATGTACTCCCAATACAAACCACATATAATATGATCCCTTGTTCCCTGCTAATCCCCAGTAGGTTTCGAAGAAGCCCTAATCCCCCGAAGGTTTAGGGTAAACCCTAAACACCAATCCGCAGTAGGTTTAGGGGCATCCAACTTCACGTAACCCCTGTAGCCTGACTTCTTACGATGGAAACTTCATCTAAACCCTAACCTTTAAACCCTAAACCCAAGCTCAAGCCCTAGAGACATGAGAAGCCCCATTTCGGATTCTAAAGGGGTCATGTCCTAAACCCTGAACCCTAAGCCCTAAACCCGGTCAAGCATGTCAACTCGATCAAGTCCTACAAAATCCTCAGGTAATGCCCCCCACTCCGCAAAACGTCTCACTTGAGTATTCAGGGCTTCGGGTTAAGGGCCGAACCAAGAAAAAGTCATCATTCTTTTATACAAATACTACAACCTCAAAGACTTGGTCTCAATTGAGGACTGTAGCACCATGTCCATGTCTTAAAGTCTATGAGCCATAGTCTACACTCCCAGTATCCCCCTTAATAAGCCTTATAATGTTACCCTATACAATCCCCTACATGACCCCCCTTAAGGAGTGAAGAACTAAAACCCTAAACCCTATATAACCCCGTTTAAACTATAGCTCACATTAAGCCCCAATCCCAACAAACTACCCTGTAATCCCAGTTTCCATTTCATTTTCCATTTTATTCTCCATTTGATTCTCCATTATTGGGGGGGGTAATGTCGGAGGGCCTTCTCTGTTTGGCCGCACGCCAGGAGAGCCATCCCAAAACGAGTTCGTGCCTGGAAGCTGCTCAGCACGGAACAAATCTGAAAAGCTCATGGTTACTGCTACAGTACCTTTACAGGGGATTATAGGGGGGTCTATAGGGTCACATAGGTGTGTGTGTGTGTAGGGTTTATTACTTAGGGTTTCCCAAACTTAGGGGCACCTTTTTCATCTTTTGGGGATTATAGCTTTTTGGGGGTCCTATGTTGGGGTCCCCTTGTATATGGAAACTAGATCCACTGCACGTATTCTGTCGTGTGTTTTCAAGGACTTGCACAAGAGCAGAGTTGGCCAGACCAGCCGTTCGTGTTGGAATTCGCAGCACTTCGTGTCCGCCCTCGAAAATCTGCGGTTTGTAACGCGTTTTCCATGTAGAGAAGGCCCTTCGCACTGTAAATTGCAGGCTAAAGTCCCGTTTTCGGAGTCCCCGAAACTAACACGGAAACCAGCTTCGTGCTGCAAATTCTCACACGAACACGGTGCGCAAGAAGCTGTTGATTTCTAGAGCAGGCTCTCAAGTGCATTAAAAATGAACTGGATTGTGGATTGGGCATGGATGCTCTGGTGACCGTACGCTCTTCGAACGCGAACGGGAGTATGGTTTGGGCGTGCATGCTCGGATGAGCGTATGCTCCTGGAGCACGAGCGGAACGATGGTCTCGGCATGGATGCATGGGCGCGTTGGACAGCCGAACTTGCGGCGTTCACAGGTGGAACAGCGAACATGCTTTAAAACCCATGGCAGAATACGCGCCGTGGGCCAACTACCATATGAGCCAGTACGAAGCTACTGTCCAAGATCATTCCACAGGATAATATGGAATATGATCTAGAAGAACCCATTTCAAGGAGACGCTACAGGATAGAACGCTCTAAACCCTAAACCCCATACCAGGTGTGGCTCTTTCAACCACACTCCTTTGTTCTACAAGTTCATGTGCGAAAGCAACCGTTTGAGGGAGCGAGAAAAGCTTGTTTCTCTTGGAACTCCATATCAGTCCTTCATGGGCATACTCAAGTGCAAGGGGAAGGGGAAGGCAAAGTATCAGTGAGAAGCTGCAATCCTACCTCCCCAGATCCTAAACCCTTGAACACCGCATGCTGATGGCCTTGACGAAGTCGCCTTTCTTCTCTACCGCAATCCTCGCAAAGGTGCAAGGCGGCATATCCTCTGTCACACTTGCAGCTGTCAGTGCAATGAGAGAGTCAAAGTTGTTCCAGAAGTCCATTGCGGTGCCCGCTGCTAGTACTACTCTTATTGCCCTTCGTGCTCTCGTGGCGTTGTTGCACTTGTCAACCTTCCAATATCCCTATATAAACCCCAATGTACTATAGTAGTTTCCATTTCATTTTCCACTATCTCTATAACCCCCAATATACTATAGTAGTTTCCATTTTATTTTCCATTATCCCTATATAAACCCCAATATACTATAGTAGTTTCCATTTTATTTTCCTTTATCCCTATATAGACTTTATGGCTCCGATGCACTGAGTTGCAAGCTCCGCATCCGCAGAGGCCTGCGACCAGTTCTTGAGCTGGCCTGGAGGGCTGCCAACAGGCCATAGCTAGGGCATAAGGGAACATATTATATAGGGTATTATATAGGGTTATATTGGGATAATGGGAAAGAAAATGGGGTATTATATAGGGATGACAAGGGGCTACATAGGGACTATATAGGGTTTAGCTAGTGTTTACGGTTACTTGTGGCGGCAACCACCACTACCTCCTACTGACTACTACTGCTACTGCCAATGCCACTTCCACTGCTACTGCTATTGCTGCTGCTATTGCGATTCCTACTATGATGACTGTACGGCCACGGTACTACAACATGACATGCTACCATCTCTCATGCCGCGACACCTTTGGCTCATCTTGCTTTGCTTCATACTTCTTTGCGCTGTGCCTTATGGAGATTATGTAGCGGTCATTTGGGGGGGACTCGCAAACTTTGGGGTCCCTTGTTGAGTCGTAATGGTGGTTATGACTGTTCTGCACATCTAGCAGAACCTGCGTTTTTACGCACTAATTGCTGAACCCTGAATCTCCGAACTCTACCAAAATCTCTATTTACCCATGTGACTGAGGCATCCGCTGAATGCCGATGCTCTGTTGGAAAAAAGAACTGACCTGGCGGGAGCAGGTGTTGATGTACGCACCACAGACTTTAGGTTAGGGTTTCTCAGAACTGCCGCACCTAAACCCCAAACCCCAAACCTACCATATAACCAAAAATTGCTTATGGTCCTCAACCCTAAACAATATACTATAGTCCTTATGGAGTCCTTATTATTATAGGGACTCCCAAAAAAAGAGGGCCCTTAAGATTTACAAGAAGGTTTCAGCCCAGACTCCCTCTTAAGGATGACGCAGTTTAGGCTCTAGAGGGCTTAGACATAAGGGTTTAGGGATAAGGGTTTAGCGTTTAGGACTCTAGGGATGAAAGTTTTTAGGTGAGGCTTTAGGGTTTAGGTTTGAGGTTTTAGCGTTTAGGGTTTAGGGTTTAGGTTTTGTTGTTTTTTTGGGAGGGCTTAGGGGAAACTTACGTCATAGTTGAACGTTGTGGAGCTTGAAACAGCTCTGGTTGCTCCTCAGGGTGACTGCTGCAGAGCTTGTGGAGGCATCCAGCAATCGTCACGTAGGAAATACATGGGGTTTGCACCAATTTTCCCTTGTATAGGCTGTCACAATCCCCTTCCTGTCCCACTAGGGCTCTCTAAGGGCCCCCGCCTTTTGAAAACCCTTCACTCTACACCCTACATCCCAAGCCCTAAAACCTAAACCCTGATAGGCAAGCTTGGGACCTCAGGAGGGCATGTTCATCCTCGGGCGGCACGCCATCAGGAACAGATGCCTTCACCTTCACAAGGAGCTGCAGATTCTATGCGAGTTCTATTGGGGTTAGATTGGGGTAATATTAGGGTAATATTGGGGTTCTGCGGGAAGTTTCTGAGGCATCTGCAAGCCTTCAATGGGAATATCATAGGGTCCCTTGTCGCAGTCCTGCAGTACAGATCCTGCCATTTTTGGGTATGTTAGGTAGAACTCTTTTGTTGCAGGCATCCACGTTCGAGTTCAAGTGTCTAAACTTCTGCTTCCAATAGAACGGAAGCGACAGGAACATATCTAACTACAGGGCGTCGACCAAACAATATCCGACTTGCTCAGTGGTCCTATAACGCACTTAGTGGTGACCCCCAAATTCCCGTCCCAATCCCTACAAGTTGCTGGGTCCCTAACTTACCGCCTGTTTTGTCAAATTCACTTGGGAACAAGGCACCTCCGCGGGAACCATAGCAAGGCCAGCCGTATAATGGGCGACAGCCAAGCCAAACTCGTTACCGCGCATGGCCTCACATGGTTTTAGAGGGCTAGGCCTGAAGCTTCAGGGATTAGACTTGTAGGCGTTCAAGGCTTAAGTAGGGTTTAGGGTTAAGAGTTCGGCATGTTGGGTTAGGGTTTTGCGCTTTAAGGTTTTAGAGCTTAAGGGCCAACATTCAGGGAATAGAGGCCTCACCACCCGCTGTAGCAGGCCGCACTGCTCAGACATGTGGAGGCACCCTACTACCGGATGTCTATGATCTGGTAGTTCCGCCAAATGGGGGGACCCCAATATAGGCTCCAAATATGATAATCCTTATTATAGGGACCCCAAAACGGTAGCCCCTAATTTTGGGAAACTTTAAATCACGATATGTACCAATTTCCATTTCATGTTTCATATTCCTTTCCATGTGATTCTCAATTATTGGGGGAATATGCCGATATAACCCTTTACTAGCCCTTATATAAACCTTACGTAAACGCCTACAAGCTCTGCTCAGAGCACCAAGACCCTATTCAAAGCAGCACGTCCGCGGAGAGACGCTCAACGCCCAGAAGAAAAAGACGTAATCAGCGATGTTTCCGCATGCTAACAAATAGCTGCGTAAGACGGTTAGCTATACGGAGTTTTAAGAGCCTGCGGGATAAGGCCTGGTATTTCACACGGTGAGTTTCGAACTAGTCCACACGCTAAACTGTTTGAACTCAGCAACTGCACCTTCAATTCATGAATCAAAGCCTCTCAGACACAGAAAGGGGAGGGAAGTCATGAACCAGGATATCGTGATCCAATCTTCCTCAGCCTTTACATCTCTAGTGTTTAGGGTTGAGGGTTTCGGGCCTCCCTTCAACCCCTATCCCCAACCCTAAACTCTTAACCTCAACCCCCAAGCCCTACAAGAGACCTTCATCTCTAACAATTTGCCAAGGCTGCGGCAACGTTGCCGTCTTCCTTCTCTTTGTGCGCAAGGTCGGTGTTCGCCGAATGCAGCTGCAGGGCCGTTTATTTCATGCACATCAGAAACTTCCTCCACACACAATCCCAGCCCCGAATAAAGGTTCAAATCAGGCTTTGAGAAGCGAAAGAAATCTTATCAGCATTTTGAATTGGGGCCGGTAGGCATGATTTACTTCTGGATTGGATCACTGCTCAACACTCTCCGCATTGGCTCCCCACACACAACGCGGAGATCATACAAATCTTGCTGCTGAATCTCTTACCCTACAGCCCTACACTCCAACTCCGAACAGTACACCCGCGGCCCTAAACCCCAAAGCCTTTAGCCTGAGCCCTGGGCACGTGCCAATGAAGTGAGATCACAAGAAAAATCCAATGATTCCCCAGAACCCTGAAATTGTTTCGTAGAAGGGCCGCTAATTTTTGGAATCCCCAAAGTGAGCCTATTATGTCAAGAATCTCAGGCTTAGTAGCCATGATAGATAAAAAAAGGTTAAGCGGATACCCAACCTGCCTCCAAAAAGGAAAGGAAGCTTTAAAAACTCAAAGGTTGACGCGCTAAAACCCAAGCCCTCAGCATGAAGAGCAGACCTGATGTGCCACTGAAGTCAAGGCATCCACATTGGAACCTTAGCTGGTTTAGGCTTTAAGGCTTAAGGAACTATATGGGATCATGACCCCAAACCCTTAACCTCCTGCAACCGCCCTACACCCTCAACCCATGAACACATACTAAAATATGATTGAGCTCCTAAACCCTAAACCCTAAACCCTAAACCGGGTGGGCTCAGTACCCGACCTAAACCTTGGCATCCCTTAAGGATCATTTTGGATGCCAGTGAGCTCAGGTGGGTTACGCTTTGTTTGGTGGATTTAAGGTCCCCCTTAAGTAGATAGAATATGGGGGTTATATAGGGATAATGGAAAAGGAAATGGAAACTACTATTTAGGGTTTAGGGTTTAAGGTTTATAGTTCCCCTTA